AAGTTGATGCACGCCGTGATGTTGTTGCTCACCGCCATGACGGCCGGAATGGGGGATATTGGGACTGGGAGGGCGGACGGGGGACGGCGCGACGGATGCAGCTGCTGGAACAGGAAGGGGAGAGTGTGACTGAGCTTGGTTTCTCTTCCTTTTTTTGCTGGGTGTCGGCGACGCGGTGAGAGGTTGTTTCGTGACTCGTGAGAATGCTGTTGCTACTCGCACGCGGTGACGAGGCAGCTCAGCATGTAGAAGAGAGAGCGAGAGAGCGAGTAGCCGCCGGCCACCGGACATTGCGCGTTGTGTACGTAACGTAGCCGCCGCCCGCCGCACACGGCCGCAGCATCGCGTCGCGTCGGGGTTTTGTGGCGGCCTGATCAGCGAAGGCGTCACACGGCGGCCTGCCTGGTCATAGCGCTTTGCCTGTGGGTGTGTGCTCAGCTGGGATTTTGTGCGCTTCCCCCACATAGAGGGTAGATGAGCTAGACAAGAAAAAGAAGCTGAGTACACCTTTGAGTCAACTTGAGATTGTTGATTTAAAACATAAAGTCTTAAGGAAAGGTTAGTATCTTTACTGATGAAAAATTATACTTGTATCAACGATCAAAAACAACTATTTTGCCCTAAAGAGATTCTCTATCTCGGATGCCCTTGCAACCGTACCGCCTTTGAACCTTAGGGATTGATGCCCCTAATATAATAAAAACAAATGCTAGTACAGTAGTGATGTTGAGTCGAGTCAATTCCGTACATCCTAATGGTTGAGCTTGTGAACTTTAATGTTTGGTTATTTGTCATTATGCTTATGCTTGAGTTAGGATTTTTTAACGAGTGCAAAGATCTTGTTGGCATGTCTACAGCCAGGCAGGCAGACCATACCCATGCGCCTGGCAGCGGCAGTGATAATATATCATTACCAGATTTAAAACAACCTAGTGATAGTGTATCACTATCAGGTTCAAAACATCCGACACCAATTTAGCCGACAGTGTTAGACCGACCCTGATGTTTTTGTTAGACTGATTCTATTTTTTTTATCAACTCAACAAGAGGCACACAATGGTGAAATTCATTCTGACAACTTTGACAAACGTGACCTAGCCGGTATTAAAACCCGGCCTAGCCTGTTTTCACAACAAATTTAGGAACGCTTCTCTTGGACAATTTTGGTTATCAACTTAGCTAATCGTGCAACTTTTAAGCCTTCTAATCCGCTGCCCATGATGCTGCATGTCCATGGTTGGAATACAAGACAAGAAACGATGTATGCTTCAGCATATGGTGCGACTTGCTAGGTTCAAAAACAGGTTCCAGAGTATGCACGAGTCATGCTGACATTGCTCTACGCTGGCATGTACATGCATCTTGCTGCCGCTCCGACCAATTTGCTCCACTCGTTTGCCACCGGGATGAGATGAGAAGAAGATCGATCACGGACATCCAGACGATTAAATTAAACCGGCGCTGGAAAGTCGAAATAAATGCACAGCAACCTCGCGAGAAATATCTGGCGGAATGTCTGAACACGATCGCCTGACAGGACAGGACGCACATCCTCTGTGAAACCTAGAGGCCTCTCAAGAGCCAACAAGCCTAGCCAGCTAGCTGAAGGGTTCTTCTAAGAGACACCGAAAAGGCGGGCGATGTCCTCTTGCGACGGCCGGCTTGTGGATGGCCACGCCGGCGGCCGCTCGCGGCTCATCCCGATGCCTCCAGACCCCGGACGCGCACGTCCCCGGGCGCCGCGCGCCTGGCTATTGGCCGTGCACAGACGTACTCGATCGTAGGAGCTCGCGCCGGCCTGTTTTATTTCGCCGTGGGTTTTATGTGGACATGGCTGCCGCGATCTTGCTATTCCTCCGCGGCGCCGGCAGCTAGCTACAGAGGCGACATGGCGGACGCCGCACCGCACGTTTGTGTGCCGCACGCGCGGGCGAGAGGTGGACTGGCTTATTGGTCGCCGTCGCCGTCGCCGCCTCCTCGGCACGTCGCCGTCGTGGTGTGATTGTTGGCCGCTGATGAGATGGCCTCGTCGAGCAATAGAACCAGGCGAGCAGGTGAACTTATCGTCAATTCGTTGCCTTGGATCCGCAGTACAGCGGCCTTATCCGCTGCACAGAATTCTTATCTGCGCTTTCTTGCATGATTTGCATTTCTCCGTGGATCACACAAGAGTCACTCACTCCACTCCACTGCACTCCACGGTCATGATTATTCATGACGCGTGCCCTCGTCACAAGGATGAAATACATCCTAGTCTTAGTTAGGCGTGGAAAAGCCATGACAGGGTAAGAGAATACAGGACTCCCTTAAGTAAAAAAAAAAGTAGTGCAATTTTAGATCAGGTCAAAGTCAAATTATTTCAAATTTAATTTAATTTATAGAAAATAATACCAATAGTGATGGTTTAAAATAAATATAATGAACACATATTCGATGGTGGATATGATGATACTTATTTATTGATATCATAAATGTTAGTACATCTTATAAAATTTGGTCAAACTAAAGATAATATGATTTCAGTATTGTATTGAAACGGGCACTCCTTTTAGAACGAAGGGATGACCGCGAGGGAAGGAAGTTGGGGGCGGTGCATGGGATCTGGAGGAAGGAGGAAGAAACCAGTATGTCCCTCTCAACGCGGTAAAAAGTGGTTTCTCTGACTGTTAGATGCGAAGACATCATTTCCTCATAAGAAACGATTTCTTCTTTTTTTTTTTCCTCTCACCTTGCCACATCAAGAAAATGATTAGGTGGCATTCCAATTAATGCCCATAGAAACTATGATGTTTTCCACATTGTGAGTGCCCTTATGAAGAGATATTGAGAAATAATGGCATATGAAGACGTTGAAGACTCAAGTGGTTGAAATAGTTATATCCTTTTGATCTTGAGTATATGCGTTAGGTACTATCAAGGGGATACAACACGAATAGTTAGACAAAGTTTCAAGTGCTTAAACTAAGCGAACCCAAGTGCTAACATAAGAGAAACACATCGTACAACACCTGCACTTGTTGATCTTGGGGCTTGTTTTCTCGATCGGGCGGTAGCCCTCTGAACAAGTTTTCTATAAAGTCCAATATCATCGAAATAGGAATTCAGAGCTAAAACTTATGACATTGTTCATGAGGTGGTCTGTGTTATTCAAGATAACTTCGAAAGTTTCATGGGTTTTCACTTAACTTTAGAGGCACGACAGTTCCACGCGCAGGTGCAGAAGTTCCGCACTCTGTAGACCTAATGGCTAGTTTGGGGCTCTAGCAACTAGTTTTTTGGTAGGTATATATACCCATCCCGCCGCCTTGTGGTAGGCTGCTGACCTTCAGACATGCATTCCCAGCCTTGTGAGAGCTCTCCCCAACTCTCTCTTTGTGAGTGAGTAATTAGTGTGAGACTAAGTGTTGGTTGAGAGATTTAGAGTTAGAGAGCAATTGAGAGCAAACAAAACCATGAGCACTTATCGGGCTCTGTCCAATTCGCGAAGCTTTTGTTACTCTTGGAAGGGAAGTCTTCTAGACGGCTAGGCGTCGCCCGGCAAGCTCCCGAACTTATGGTGAGCCACGGGAAAGTTTGTGAGAGCTCCAATCTTTTCCCCGCAAAGGAAAAATCATCTAGTAGAGACGAGGATATGGTTGAGAGAGACCCAGCATGAGCACGAGCTTTATGAGTTGCTCATCGCCATCATCACATGGATGAAACACATCCCACCCCTACCTAGTATAGATGTGGAAAAGCCATGACAGGGTAAGAGAATACTACTCCCTTGGTCCAAAAAAGAGAGTGCAATATCAAAGTCAAAGTATTTTAAATTCAACTAAATTTATAGATATAGTATAAATGATTGTGATTCTAAATATGTATATTACGAAAATATATTCTATGATAAATATAATACTACTTATTTAATATCATCAATATTTGTAGAATACAGAAGATGTGTTTACAAGCTTTAAGAGACAATCACATATATATGTGCCCTTCTTCATGGAGATTATTGGTCTCATGGGCTGGAGTATTTGGATGTCCAGAAATGACTTAATCTTTGGAGGTTTACAACCTTCTCTACAACGGTGTAGATGCATATTCAAACAAGAGTTTGCCCAGGTCATTCATCGGGCAAAAGCAAAATACTTCCCCCTTATTAGTCGATGGCTAGAAGCCCTGCTGTAATTTTCTTATTTTTCTTTGCTACCTTTTTTGTTTCCTAAAACTCTTTTGGATCTCGTTCTTTTCTTTATATAAATATATAACCAGTAGGGGTAAGGGCAACCTCTCCTGATTCCCTCAAAAATATTAGTACATATTTATAAAAACTTAATTAAACTAAGGTTGATTTGATTTAACATTGAAGCTAACATAAATGACATTTCTTTCGAGATGGAGTATAAATTTTCTCTTAGCTCCTAGAAAGCCTAGGGGGTATTTTTGGGGTTTCACAAAATGATAACCTCAGCGACAACTTAAAATCTCATGTGTTATGTGAATCACATAATTTTTGAAGCACATGCAAATAATTTAAGAATGTCTCAAATTTTGTACATGCATATTTAATTGAGTATGTAACCAGAGGAAGGTCAACAATTCGACATTTATTATTTGAAGCACAGTATCTGAGCTGGTGCAACTTCGTTGCTTACATGTTCCACGGAGAGATACATGTACATAAACCCATCCTAAAAGTAAACGAACGAACAAGCAACTAAAGAATAAACCATATTACAAATCAAACTAGCTAGGACGCATCTCCGGATCAGCATCTCAACACAAACCTTCCTATGGCTCCTAATAGAAAAAAGAATCAACCAAACTAATAACAAATTCATCACGTCGCCTTTCCATGGATATAGTATCAACCAGATCCAAATTTCTGATTCTCTAAACACACACACACCTGCTGACCACTAACACTGTCGTATACGTGCAAGCACCTCCGACCGGACGACCCGTCGCCTCCAGCTTGCTCTTGCTCCACACAACATGCATGCATGCAGGCCAAGCTAGAAACGGGAAAGGCAACGACGTCCTCTACAGAGAATCAAGCCGTCACCGGCGGCTTGGTCGGCCAAGCCGTCACCGGCGGCGGAGAAGATCCCCTGCCCCGGCGACAGAATCGCGCGCGGGTCGTACTTGCGCTTCAGCGCGGCGAACCTGCTCCATTTCTCGCCGAAATGCCGCCTCCAGCCGTCCCGCGACGCGTGGCTCGGCAGGTACTGCTTGCACCCTATGCCCTCCCGGTGGCAGAACTCCAGGACGGCGGCGTTCTCCCTCTCCAGCTGCTCCAGGTCGCCGGCGGCCACCGCGGACCGCAGCAGCCCGACGGCGTAGAACATGTCCTCGTCCGGCGTGGCCGTCGTCATCCTGTCGTCCCACCTGTCCTTGTTCATGGGGTACATGAGAACGAGACCCACGGGCTTGGTGTCCTTGAGGATGCTCTTGAACACGCCGGCGTCGAAGTCCACGATGCGCGACCTCGGGACGAAGAGGTTCAGCCATGGGTGCGGCACGTCCCAGACGCCGGCCGACCGCAGCTTCTGCTCGTCCCGGCCGACTCGGTCGAGAAAATCCACGTAGGACACGTCTCTGACGAACGCATGCCCCGGGACGAAGCTCAGCTCTTCCAGTAGTGTCTCAAGTTTTACAGAGGTTGAGGAGGCAGTATCGTCATGATAGTACATTGCACCCTCGATGTAGTAGATTGCTGCAGACCCGGTCCCTATGGCGAGGTTGGCAAGCTGGTCGAGCTCTGAGGGTGAGAAGAAGGAAGACGACCTCCGGCCCTCGGTGAGGGTCCGGTTCAGCTGGACTTGGCCCTCAATGTAGTCGAAGCCACCGGATCCGCCAGCAGACCGTTTCGAGATGAGCAGTTCCTGGTCACTGGTGAACGATTGTACATCTGAGTAGGCGAGTCGGACCCAAAGAACCCGTTTCAGAGCGCGTTCAAGCGCGATCCGGGCCCGGGTTATGACCCCAAATTGACCCAGCCCACCCAGTGCTGCAAAGAACAGGTCCGAGTTCTTGTCCGGCGAACAGCTGATCATTTCGCCCGTGCCTGCAACCAGCTTGTTCGTTAGTTAATTGTCATATAAATGAATCAACAACAAAACACAGATCCATCAAACATTGTGCACTGGTTAGCTCTGAGATTTATGTATATATACATGGCCAGCAAAAGAGACGTGTACCTGTTACCACGTCAAGCTCGTGCACGTTGGAGATCTGCGGCCCGTGCCGGAACGCCTGGCCGCCGATGCCGCCGTTGGAAAGTGTGCCGCCGACAGTGATGTGGAGGTAGTCGGTCCAGACGCGGGGCGCGAGGCCGTGCTCGAGCGTAGTGTGGAGGACGTCGATCCACAGCTGCTCGCCGCCGACGTCTACCCACAGCTCGTGGGTAGACACATTCATGCGGCAGCAGCGACCAACAACACGGTGGTGATCGTTGAGCGAGCGCATGTCAACGACAACCCCGCCTGGGGCGAGGGCTTGCCCTCGAGCAGAGTGCCCTTGCCCGCGTGGTGCCACTGTGAAGGGCTTTGGCTGGGAGAGTGAGAGCCGGATTAGGGTGGCAATGTCGTTGGGTGAGGTCGGATGGAGTACCCCGTTTGGGATAGCTTCCACAATGTGGCCAAAGTCCATCGATGCCTTGATGGTTGACTTGCGGTCCGTGCGGATTTTTGACACAATGTCTAAGGCAAAGATATCATCATCATCTGGGAAGGCACCGGCTGTGGCAAGCGTATGTAAATGGCTGGTGGTGGAGAGGAAAACGCTGGTGGTGACAATGAGAAATGAAGCTAGATAAGCCCTTGCAGACATGTTGCAAAGAGTTGGAACGGAAGCTGGGTGGCTGGAGTTTGCTAATTGCATTAGAGATCCTTGTGTGTGTGTCCTAATGTCATGGAGCCCTACACATTTATAGTAGAAGAGTTAGAGTGTTCTAGTTCAGTTAATTATTAGTTCTCGCTTTGAAAATGCAGAGGGTTGACATCCTCCAAAACAAACAATGTTAAAACTAAAACTTGGTCAATGCCCCTTAGTTTTGACTCTTCAGGAGACCTCGATGGTGATTGGGTCAATACAAAATCATGATACATTCTTGACTTCTGCGGGCCTTCAACTAATTAATAAGAGGGCACCAAGGTCCAAATGTATTTTATGAAGCATGAGATACATATAGGAAATGGATGTTTGGATGTTGGAAGCAAACTTTCATGGGATATCATTAAGCGTGGCTCATGGTACTAATTATCAACCATTTGATGGCTTCAAACCAAATGTCCTAGTCAACTTGTTTGAAAAGTATGAACAATAAAAATTATTTTCTTCAGAAGTTTCAAGCTTCCAAAATGTAAATCACTTGTAACTACTAACTAGTCCATCAACCAGTGCTCAGTGCTTGCTCTGTACAGGATGGTAATTTAAGATAGATAAGTGTTAGAAATTCATGGATAAACTTATTTTAGGGACCATAGCTAATCAAAATAAATTATTCCTCTCTAGTTGTTCATATTCTAACACAATAATCATATAGCTACAAACAACCTTATTTTTTGCCCATTTGCAATAAAATTTAGTTACCAATTCCTAGATCTATATATTTCTCTATCCATATTCATAGTTTCCCTTTGCACCTTGCCTCCATTTGCATTTGACATGTGTTTAGTTAAAATCTTAGCTTGAGCATGTATATCTTGTGGGTTTGCTTTCCTGTATTAACAATAGTAGAAGTGCATAATTTAGAGAGGTATGTATATAGGTACTTTAGAATTTATTTTATAATACAACTACAGATAATTTAGATGCAAATATAGAAAATCAATTTAGATTATTTTTCATTATGTTACAGATGGGTTGCTTTATGTTGTTTTTAATAATGGAAGGTATGACTAATTAGATGCAAATTAGGGTTACTTTGGAATATTTCCAAAATAGCATAGGTGGGTAATTTAAATGAACATTTTTTTTTTGGAACTGGGAGGGGTTTGGGATGCCCTTTAGATTTGTTTTTTTATAATGGCATAGGCGGATAAATTTAGACAAGTTAACAATATTTCTTTTTTATTATATTTTCAATGGCATATGTTGGGATCAACATAGAGGTTTAAGGGTTAATTTAGAATAAATTTTCATAATGACATAGGCAGCTAACTTTTGGTAGAACTTAATAGACCTAATGGATGTCGCTATTGATAATGAATAAAGTCTACCGGACCATTTTAATCCTTTTTTATTCAATATTTTAATAATAAATGCTTCTAATTTTTTTTTTTGCGGATTTGACCCTTTTGGTCACCAAATAACGTTGTCGCGACACATGCATTGGCGCGGCAACATATGTCACGTTAGACGGCGTTTCCGACTTGGAAAACGCTGTCACGCCACTCCCGCTGACATGACAGTTTTGTTCTGCCGCGCCATCGGGAGTGGCGTGACAAGACAAAACCTTTAAAAAATCATAACTCTTTGATATGACGTCGGATGAAGATGAGATTTATATAAAAATTATAGATCTCGATAAGATCTACAACTTTTTAGTTTTGAGTTTTTTCATTAGAGGACGTTGAGATGCTAAAAACATAATATAAAATTTTAGGAGTATAATAATCGCTTGTCGCATTAGAAAAATAATATCTTTTTTGTATGTTGTCAAATAAAGATACTTTTTACATGAAAGTTGTAGCTCTCAATGAGATCTACAACTTTCATGTTTTGAGTTTTTACATTTAAGATCGATAAGATGCACGAAAAAATAATATAAAATTTCTGCAGCATAATAATCGTGTAGTAGCGCTTGTCGCGTTAGAAAAATTATTATGCTACTGAAATTTTATATTATCTTTTTGAGCATCTTAAGGACTTGAAATGTGAAAACTCAAAACTATAAAGTTTGAGATCTCACTGAGAGGTACAACTTTCATGTCAAAATATAAAAAAGATATTATTTTTCTAATGCGATAAGCATTTGTACGCGATTATTATACTCCTGAAAATTTTTATTACTTTTTTTGAGCATCTTAACGTCCTCAAATGAAAAAACTCAAATCTACAAAGTTGTAGATCTCGTCGAGAGCTACAATTTTCATATAGAATTCATCTTAATCCGATGTCGTATCAAAGAGTTATAATTTTTCAAAGGTTTGGTCTTATCACGCCACTGCCGGTGGCGCGGCAGATCACGCCAACGGGATTGACGTGACAGCGTTTTCCACGTCGAAAACGCCGTATAACGTGGCAGATGTTGCCGCGCTAATGCATATGGCGCGACAACGTTATTTGGTCACTCCAGCGGCGCTGGCGCGACCAAAAGAGTCCGATCCGATTTTTTTGGAGCGATTATTATTAAAATATTGAATAAAAAAGGATTAAAAATAAAAAAATCCACCAATAGGCCAGATGTTTCTATTTTTTTATAGAATTTTTAGGATTTATTTTTTTAGCATGCCTCTTGAGGATTAACATATAGACTCAAAAAAGAGTCTTTAGCTAATCATAGTAATATTATGCATGTATAGAAAAATGGCATAGGCAGATAATTTAGATGAACATTTTTTATGAACCAAGTCGCATCTTGCTATTTGTATCATATGCCAGAGTACTTTATTAACACTGTAGGTGTTTTACTTTTATTCCTAGTTATTACCCTATCAAAAGAAAAGAATGATTTACTATTAAACAAATAAAATTTGTACCCTCTACTTCATAGACCTATGTTAATTTAATAGAAGATGGATTGTCAAATTCATAGTATGCAGAGGATACCATTATATTTATGGACCATGAGTTTGATCACGGGAGGAATATTAAACTACTCTTTTGCACATTTGAATAATTATCAGTTTTTAAATTAACATTTATAAAAAGCAAGCAACGGTAGCAAAATTTTTGGCTTTGGTTCCCTTAAATGTTTCTTTTAGAAGAGCACTAATTGGAAATAAACTCCGAGACTAACAGATTATTGTTGTAAGAGTGTCTAATGTTAATACTAGTGAAGGTTTCGACATGTTCTTTTGGAGTTTACGAAACAATAGCATTTTTTTTTATGAATTCAATGTACAACTTTCTTGTCAACAATGGAGTTAAGGTTTCACAGAAAATTTGGCATATGAAGTTACCACCAAAGATTAAGATTTTCTTGCGGTACCTAAAAAGGGGATCATTCTAACCAAAGATAACTTAGCAGGTGGGATTAGAATGGAAGTACGTTTTTTACGGAAAAAAGAATGGAAGTACATTTTGTTGTTATTGTGGCAAACCGGAAACAATCAAACATATCTTTTTTTTATTATTATGCTAATTTCCTATAGCGTGCTGTCCATGTATTTTTCTGGGTGTCCCTCTTCCTACTATTGTTTAATATTTATCCACTTACATGGTCAAAATTGGAATGACAGAAACAAAGTATTTTATTATTGGCAAGGCTACAACTATTTGTTAATCTATTTGTCTTACAAGGAATGACTCTGTGTTCAACATTGCCAATCAAAAACCTTTTTGCAGGTACCATTCACTCATTCAGGATAATCCAGTACACTCTATTTCTAGGCTCTATATTACAGTGCACCAAAGAACTCAAGGATAATCAAGTATGCTCTTTGCCAGCTATTAGAGTCAAGTCGATGCTTCACCTCCCCTCCTATGGATGGCCATTTATTTTTTGCATTGGCTTAGTGTTAAACTCAGTGTGTGGAGTTGGTCAGACTTTGTAATAACTTCTCACTGGTAACTCTTTTTTCAAGAAAATTAAAACCGAATCCTATCAAGAAAAGTAACACATATTCCCTTTTCTTAAAAAATATCTAGAAAAACTATATATGTTAGTATGTTATTATCATATCCATTTCTTGTTTACAACAGTAAATATTATGTAGCTCCACAGGTTGCTGCATCCAGTCGGTCGGATGAAATAGAAAGTGCAAAAAAAGGGACCTCGGGTGATCGGCTGTATTTGGCCCATATAGTACTAATTGTCTTTGAAGTTACACTTTATTTCTAAAGAAATAGCGGTTCTCTCTGAAAGAGACAAGAGGGAGTGATATTCCTACGACATTTATATTATATTGTTGTTTTAGCATATATGTTTTTTTTGAAGTTGATAAACGTACATTTTATAACATTGTTGACATTCCGGGCAAAGAATTTTCAGTTAATCCAATCAGCTTACGCACAACAGAGATGAGAATTTGAGACGGCAATATTAAGTAACCGAAAACAGAGATTATTTAGAACTTGAGACGGCAGTATTAAGTAACTGAAGAGATATAAGATTGGGGAGCATGGATGTTAACGCCTACTTGTTTAAGAGCAAATCAGATGTCGAGATATGTCAACGTACATCATGTTTAAATATAATCACCACGTATTAGTTGTGGCCGTCACAAAAATTTCTTCATGTCCTAATAAAAAGGGAACAAATTTGACATAGGAATGCTCATTCAACATTCATGCACCAAATAATAAATAAACCGTTGAAAACAAAAGGCATGCAACGGATTTTAATCCAGGTCAATTGTGATATCACGCCATTTCAGAAATAACAAACATTTTCAGCGTTGTTTTTTTTCAGTTTACTTGTTATTATACATTATAAAATTCTGTGAAGACGAAAAGTTGCACGTAGTCTAAAACTGTGTGCCCTGAATCCGGACAGGATGACTTTAAGCTAAACCGGGGAAAAGTGTTGCTGGAATGTACTGTTGGCACGTAATGGTGCATGAACTAAAGCTTGCATTTTGTTTTCCCGTGGCTTAAAATCGTCCTTCAAAGTTTACATTTTCAAAGGCATAGCCAACTTAAAAAAATATTTTAAAAAAATGCCT